CCCACCTACCGGACAGGCAGGAAACTTGGGAAAAGCAACATCATTCTGGGAATCCTGATAGCTCTCCAATCACTCGGGGCGGGACCTCATGGCATATGCACAGACTGAATCTGGCAAGACAGCAGCGTATCTGCTCTCAATCATAAGCAGATCGAGGCCTGTAGTTTGATAGATACATATTAGTTTGCACTAGGTGTTGATATGTGTATACGTGTATAGTAACGTTGGTTTGAGATTGAATAATGAACTTATCGTTAATCGTGTCCCTATCGACTTGAGTGGTAGCAATATTTTGACAAATTTTTATTTTACAACTCGTATTGACGTATTCATTGACATGGGTGGCATATGAAATAGTAGCTAAAGTTATGTATATTGAAATCGCCTATATCCGATGAATTGGAGGTGGGTGACTTTGGATGTAATTACGGTGCTGTAGGTTCTGGTGGAGGTGAGTTCATCCTGCATTCCGGTCTTGCATTTGTTGTTGTAGGATACAGATACAGTGCTTGTCTCCCCAACGACACTTAATCCCAACATAGTCATTTTCAGTTCCTTCGGCGGAGTTTGGGTTTATTGTAAAACCCGTTACATACGTACAGGAAAAGTACAAAGGCAGTTGGGGGCTTAACACAGTGCTTAGCTACGCGTTCAACACACGAGATGCCATCTAGCTTACACTCGCTGCTGGATATTTTGAAAATCAAAGAGACATTCAGTTGTGTGGCGCCACGATGGAGTACACATTACTCTGTGTAAGGGTACTCAAGTCAAAGATATATGCCTCTCTATGTATCAAACGATACCACATGTAGCGTTTCTGTAGCTTCATCCACCACGATCAAGTTTGATGCCGAACAATGACAAAAGGGCGGCCATTCTTTTATACTACAATGTCCACAGTCTCTAATTCGCCAATACGATTGGGTATTATAAAGTTCGCTCTGCGTCAAAATCATTTCCATACTCGACCTCTTGTCAACCCACGAATACCGATTGTTATTGAGCGTTTTCCCGAACGCACGTTCATGGTCTTGTCGCCGCGCCGAGACGAGCAACATTGCGAATGGCATCTTAATCACATTTCGGTGGATGAAGGATAAAAATCGGCGGAAGAGACCAGAGCAACCGCACAACCCGGCGTGTAACGGATCAACATGCAACTGAGCGACGCACAGAATGAACGCAAGACCAAGCAGTTCCAGACTCTAACGAGACGGCGCCATTGCCCTGAAACGGCCCAATTTCTCACCTCACCGGCGTCCCTTAGCAAACTAAAAAAACGACTCTCAAAACCACGATTCTGCTAATCAATCTGAAATGTGCAGTTTGGACCACGACTGGATGCAAGTGCGACAATGTGGGGAGCGGAGTACCCGTAGCCAAACAGGATCTGGACGGGATCCTCTAAAAGAAACACAGCCCAACCGGTAGCGGATGCTACAATCCGACATCGGACCACCCGACGGCGCCGCCGCGCCAAGCGGTGCGCCGCATCCAACGCCTGTCCACTGCAAACTATACTCTTTCTCGAA